ACTACTACTACTACTACTACGACTACTACTACTGCCACTACGACTACTACTACCATACTACTACTACGACTTCTACGTCTACGACGACCACCAGTACTACGACTACGACGACGACGACGACGACGACGACGACTACTACTACTACTGATACTACTACTACGACTACTACTACCACTACTAATGCCATTACTACTACTACTACGACTGCTCCTCCTCCTACTACTACTACTACTACTACTACGACGACTACTACTACTACTACTACTACTACTACTACTGCTACTATTATACTTACTCTAATACTACATTACTACGGACTGCTACTACTACTATACTACGACTTACTACCAAACACTACTAGACCACTATCTGACTTCTTTACTGACTACTACTACTACTACTTACTACTTCTACTACGAATTACTACTCTACTACTACTACTACTACTACTACTACTGCTACGACGACTACTACTACGAATACGACGAATACTTCTACTAATGCTACTACTCACACGACGACTATTACGAATACTCCCGCCACTACTACTACTACTACTACTACTACTACTACTACCACTACTTCTACTACTACTACGGCTACTGCTACTACTACTACTACGACTACTACTACGACGACGACTACTACTACTACAACGATTACTACAACTACAACTACAACGTCTACTGCTACGACTACGACTACGACTACGACTACTACCACCACTACTACTACTACTACTACTACTACTACTACTACTACTACGACTGCTACCACTACTACTACTACTACCACTACAACTACCACCACTACTACAACTACGCCTACTGCTTTGCGACTACTACTACAGCGACGACTATTACTACTACGACGACGACGACGACGACGACGACGACTACTACTACTGCTACTACTACTAACTTATGCTTAATGCTACTACTACTACTACTACTACTACTACTTCCAACTACGATACTTGCCATACTACTACTTACTACTTACTCACTACTATACTATATACTCACCACTATTTAGTACTACTGTACTTAAAATACAGCAACGACTTTACTAGGACTGTTACTTACGACTACTTACTACGACTACGGCTGGCAAAGCACTTGCTGATACTATACTACCAATACTGCCTTTACGACGGCTACTACGCTACTGTTACTTACTACTGCTACGAATTACTACTACTGTCACTCGGCAACTACGACGACGACGACGACTACTACTACTACTACTACTACTACTACTACTGCTACTGCTACTACTACGACTACTACTACTACTACTACTACTACTACTACTAAGACTAAGGCTACTACTACTACTACTACTGCTGCTACTACTGATGACACGACGACTACTACTACTTATACTACTACTACTACTACTACTACTACTACTACTACTACTACTTCCTACTTTACTGCGACTTGGATATTCTTTTGTCTTACTACTACTACTACTACTACTACTACTACTACTACGACTACTGCCTACGACTACTACTACTACTACTACTGCTACTACTACGACGGCTATTTCTACGATCACTACGACTACGACTACACCTACTGTTTCTACTGCTACCACTATTACTACTGATACTACTACGACTACTACCACCACTGCCACTACCACCACCACCACCACTACTACTACGACTACTACTACTACTACGACTACGACTACTACTACTACGACTATTACTACTACTACTACTACTACTACTACTACTACTACGACTACGACAACGACTACGACTACTACTACTACTACTACTACTACTACTACTACTACAACTACTACTACTACTACTACTACTACTACTACTACTACTACTACTACTACTACTACTACTACTACTACTCTACTACGACGACTACTACTACTTCTGCTACTACTACTACTACCACTACTGTTACTAGTACGACGACTACTACCACGACTACGACTACTACGATTACAACTACTACTACGACGACGACTTTTGCGACGATTACTACCACTACGACTACTGCTATTACTACGCTTACGGGAAATACTAGTATTACTACTCCTACTACTACAACGACAACTACTACTACAACAACGACTGCTACTACCACTACTACCACTACGACTACTACTACGACTACTCACACGGCCAATGAATACCACCACCACAACCACTACTACTACTACTACTACTACTACTACGACGACCACTACTACTACTACTACTATTACTACTACTACTACCACTACTACTATTACTACTCCTACTACTACTACTACTACTACTACTACTACAAATACGACGGATACTGCTACTACTACTACTTCCACTACTACTACTACTACTACTACTACTACTACTACTACTACTACTACTATTATTACTACTGCTGCTATTACTACGACTACCACTACTACTACGACTGCGACGACTACTACGACTACTGCTACGATTATTACTCTACTACTACGACGACTACCACTACAACAGCTGGTACTCCTACTGCTACTATCCGACGTCTACTACGACTGATCCCACTACAACTATTAGTATTACTACTACTACTACTACTACTACTACTACTACTACTGTTACTGTTACTACTACTACTACTACTACTACTACTACTACTACTACTACTACTACTACTACTACTACTACTACTACTACTACTACTACTACTACTACTACTACTACTACTACTACTACTACTACTACTACTACTACTACTACTACTACTACTACTACTACTACTACTACTACTACTACTACTACTACTCATGCTACTACGATTGCTACTTTGTTCACTACTATTACGACGATTACTACTACTACTACTACTACTACTACTACTACTACTACTACTACTACTAC